CCACGCCCCCTCAGTGTCCCTGGACCAACCAGAGACCAGAGAGAAGGGAGGGGGAGGAGCATCTTGAGACAGGTGTGGGCTGAGATACGGGGTTACCTGTGGCACAGGTGTGGCCTCAGGTGTGGGCGGGGCTCACCTGGCCACGCCCCCTCAGTGTCCCTGGACCAACCAGAGACCAGAGAGAAGGAAGGGGAGGAGCATCTTAAGCCACTTGTGGGGCGGTTCTGGGGTTACCTGTGCCCCAGGTGTGGCCGGGGGTGGGCGGGGCTCACCTGGCCACGCCCCCCCTGCCCCGCCCAGGCGTCCCTGGACCAACCGACGGCGACGGTGATGATGCACCGGACGGAGCCGACGGCGACGCAGAACCTGGCGCTGCAATTGGCCGAGAAACTGGGGAACCTGGTGGAGAACAACGAGCGTGTCCTCGACCAGAGACAGGGAGCCTACGGGGGGTACTTCCGGGGTGAGCACACACCTGGGCGCACCTGGGGGGCACCTGGGGCACCTGGGGGGCACCTGGGGGCACCTGGGCACACCTGGGGTACATGGGATGTATTTGGGATACACCTGGGCACACCTGGGGGGCACCTGGGGTGGAGCTGGGGTGGAGCTGGGGGCACCTGGGGGGCACCTGGGGGCACCTGGGCACACCTGGGGTACATGGGATGTATTTGGGATACATCTGGGATACACCCGGGGGGCACCTGGGGTGGAGCTGGGGGCACCTGGGCACACCTGGGAGCACCTGAGGGCATCTGGGATATACCTGAGATACACCTGGGGGGCACCTGGGCACACCTGAGTACATCTGGGACGGAGGTGGGGGCACCTGGGACACACCTGGGGACACACCTGGGGCACACCTGGGGACACCTGGGGGCACCTGACACACACCTGGGCACACCTGGGACACACCTGGGCACACCTGAGACACACCTGGGGCACACCTGGGGCACACCCGACACACACCTGGGACACACCTGACACACACTTGGGCACACCTGGGACACACCTGGACACACCTGGGACACACCTGGGCACACCTGGGACACACCTGGGGACACCTGGGACACACCTGGGACACACCTGGGCACACCTGGGACACACCTGGGCACACCTGACACACCCAACACACACCTGGGACACACCTGAGACACACCTGAGAGGCACCTGGGCACACCTGGGACACACCTGACACACCCCTGGCCCCACCCCCTGCTCACCTGTCCGGTTCCGCCCCCCAGACCAGAAGGACGGCGGGTACCGCAAGGGCGACGGGTACCTGAGACGAGGCGGCTTCCGGCAGGAGCGCGGCAACTACTGACCCACACCTGCCCCACGGCGGGGACCCACCTGCCCCATAGATCTGTCACCTGCCCCACAGAACCAGCACCTGCCCCATAGAACCATCAGCTGCCCCACAGACCCCTCACCTGCCCCATAGATCCATCACCTGCCCC